TCTATCATCTATCTATCTCCCCTCCACACCTACAGAAAGTACCCATAATAGATTTATGTATACATAGGTATCTATCTACTTGAGAGTGTTCTTATTCTTCATGTGAGAGAAGAGTTGAAATTGATATTAACATGAAACTTCCCAAAGTTGATGAATGCCAAGAGAAATTCAAGCCAGGCCATTTGTTATGGCCTTTTTAGTGGTCAAGTCCATTATTCTGGCCAGAAGGCATTTCCCATTCACAGAGAATGTACCATCAAGTTTTGAGAATACCTTATTCCTTAATTATTGCCAAAGAATGAAAAAGGACTAATACTTTATATGCCAGGGATCCCCAACCTTTTCGACGCCGCGGCCCGGTTCCGACATCAGCTGGGCGCCGCGGCCCGGTACCGGCGTCAACTGGGCGCCGCCATCTTTTTATGACGAAAAGGCGCTTCCGGTGAGCTTTCTACCCGGAAAAGCTCACCAGAAGCGCTTTTTTACCAAAAAAAAGATGGCGGCGCCCAGCAACCAGCGGCCCGGTAAGGCTTGTTCCGCGGCCCGGTACCGGTCCGCGGACCGGCGGTTGGGGACCCCTGTTATATGCAACAGAATGAAGAAATAAATCATCAGCTCTTGAAGTTCTTTTAAGAACTATGCAGATTAAATTTATTTATTTATTTTATTTGTCAATCGCTTACAAGATAATAGGTATAAGTATAAACATAGTTATGAATACATAAAATGGATACATATAAGAAAAATAAAGAGAAACAATAGGACAGGGATGGTAGGCACGTTGGTGTGCTTACGCACGCCCCCTACAGACCTCTTAGGAAAGGGGTGAGGTCAATAGTAGGCAGTCTAAGGTTAAAGTTTTTGGGGTTTTCACTCCTAAATTTCACTCCTAAAGGAACAGAAAGGATTCTCACAGTTGGTGCTGAATTTTCTGACTCACATATTTTTACATAATAACTGTGAAGTCCTTTGTGATTATATATTGTGGACTGGTATATAATATTACATAAAGAAACACTTGAAAAATGTCCTGTTTAATAGTAAGTGGTTAGTCTGGGTCAGTTGCCGGCTTTTTAGCAGTAAAATAAATTTGAAACACACCTAAACAGTATCTGATTCTAGGCTCTTAAACATTTGAAAAATGATACCATAAAGCATAATTATTGATACTTTCTGACAGAAAAACATACTATTTTTTTAAAAAAAATAACAGAACAAGTTCATTTATCATGCTGCATATATTTTGAGGGAATAGAACTCACATTAAATGTTGGTTTGCAATAGTAAATCATTTTGAGTTGAGACCCTCACTATCAGTAACATCTTTCTTTACATATAGTCCTTTTGTAGACATATTTCATAGAGCATTAATTCTAATAGTATGTGATTATTCTACATTAGACACAATATAGATTGTATGTTAGCTGTACAGTAGATGGCAGCATGTTCCTCACCTTGACTTAATCTCAGAAAAGCTAAGTGAAGTTGGAGGTGGTTATAACTTGGATAGGAGACCACCAGAAAATCCCAGGGAGGGAGAGTGGATTAGAAAATAATAAAACATTCTGGAATAAGGAAATGGCAAACTACATAGGAGCTGATGAATTGTATCCGAGGCTGTTAAAGGAAATTGTGAACTGATTGTCTGAAACTTTATAACTTTTGAGGGATCCTGAAGAATTGATGATGTGCAAATGATTCAAAGCAGGTGGTGGTAAGTGGGGACAATCTTCTAATGATCTAAAGCCGTACTTGACCATTTTGGGCAGATGAATAGTACTAGTATATGGGGCTGAAAAAAAATGATTTTGAAGTGGTATTTCAAGTGGGTTTCTTTTTTGTAATTGTGATATGCCTATTTTAGGAGTTATAGTACATTACCACGTTATTTTTAATTTTGCTTCAAATTATGGAAAGCTGCCTAGTCATTGATATTAAGCAAAGAGTGTTCATTAAAGCTACTTCAAACTAGAAAGAGATATGTAGCAGAGTACTAGAAGATGTTGTATTGAGTCCTTTGCTCTTCAATATTTTTTAATAACTTCAGTGATGGAAAAAATACTTATCAATTTTGCAGCTGGCAAAAAATTGGGTATAAATCCAATACCTTAGGACAGTGATCCCCAACCTTTTTGACGCCGCGGCCCGGTACCGGCATCAGCTGGGCGCCGCGGCCCGGTACCGGCATCAGCTGGGCGCCGCCATCTTTTTTTGATGAAAAAGTGCTTCTGGTGACCTCACCGGAAGCACGTTTTCATCAAAAAAAGATGGCGGCGCCCAGCAAGCCAGCGGCCCGGTAGGAGTTGTTCCACGGCCCGGTACCGGTCCACGGACCGGTGGTTGGGGACCCCTGCCTTAGGAGACAGAATGAAAATTCAATCTGACCCTGATGGATTAGAGTAATGGGGTGAAATTAAGAGACAATTACAAAATTCTTCATTTAGGAAAAAGGGTAATCAAATGCAGAGAGAGAAATTGGAGGTGCCTGCTTGGTATTGTTGAAAAAAAAAAAGGACTAATAGAGGTTTGCAGGTTGATTTCAAATCAGGAGCGATGGTGGCTGTAAAAAAAGACAAATATGGGTCTGCTGGAATATAAATTTACAGATAGAGATGAGGATTGTGAAGAACTGGAGATCAGCACTGGTTTCCAATCAATCATATAACTGGCAGGGCTGTTTTCTGCTGCGGGGTGAAAAACTGTCATGTGGTTGGGTTAATGTAAGAAAGAAATTGAACAAGAAAATGAAGCATCTTACAAAAATTCTCAACTCATTATGAACTACTGAGCTGTCATCATATCAGTTCCTTTTTTAGACAGGTACAATTTTAATACTTTTAAGAAGGCAGTTCATACAATGGATTAACAAGGCTGCAAAACTGAATATGCACAAAAGCAGTATGAAACTCAAAGAAAATGGAATGCATCTGAGACAAACACAATATTGAAAGAAGTAAACTAATTTCTTCAGACACTTATTTTATTTAAAAATGCACCAGCAACTTTTTTAAAATATAAATTTAGCATTTATAGTGACAATAAAAGTTAAGGTAAAATGCTAACATTTTGGTTTTAATTTGAAAAATCAGTGTTTCAAGTATTGATAATACAAGAATTCTCTGAATTTCT